AAATAAAATAAATAAAATAAAAAAATAAAATAAACTTACCCCTTTATCTAGTGATAATTTTGCCTTTTAAACTACACTTAAAAGTCCACATCACACTTTTCCATCTGAATGCTGTAAGTTTCAAACTCTACATACTTAACAGTCCAGGAATAAAGGACGTCACCCTGCCATCTGTCTGCACAAGCATTTTGTTAAGTTATTCAGAAGCTGCCTCTGCTTATAAACGTGGGTTATAGAAGAAGCGATATTGTACATGAAATTCTCTTTATAAACGCTGTCAGGTCATGAATTCTTTCTCCTTTTTGTTGATGCAGTATAATTATACATAATGGTGGATTTTGTTGTTACATATTTGTACATGCACACAAGCTAACAGTAGAATTTGGTTAATACGAAATCAGCTATATAATGAATATTTACGATAGGAAGTAATCATGAAAAAACATGCTTTAAAAAGGAGGCATGCCACATTCATGTTTATGGCAGGCCAATTCACAAAACCCAAGCTCCTGAATCAACTGAGGTGTCCACCCACGGATGAATCGAGAAAGAAAATATGGTGAACATATGCGGTGGAGTATTACATAGCTAGGAAGAAGAATGGCTTTGCAGGTAAATGGATGGAACTGGAGAGCATCAGGCTAAGTGAATCAGCCAGACCTATAAAATCAAGGGTCAAATGTTTTCTGTGCTATGCAGAAGCCAGATGAAAAATAAGGGGGGAGAAAAAGAAAAGAAGATGGAATATGATCAAAACAGAAGAGAGATCCATGGAGTGGAAGAAAGGGCCCTGAGGTCGAGGGAGAAGGATGGGGTTAGAATGAACGCAACGCCTCATTTTATTGTGTACATCCATGAACGTACCGCAGTGGATCTCACCGTCATGTACATCCACTAGATGCTAATTTAAAAGAAAAAAAAATCACGATTAAGTCAATAGGCAATAAAGGTTGTAAGGTAAAAGGAGGGACTGAGAACTGGATTGGGACAGGGTTATGTTCCACGCTTTTTAAATTAAGTCAGAATGAATCCGAATGTTATGTGTGCAAGTTCATTTCCAGCGTCAGACCCGAGCTGCACCAGGCGATGCCACCGCAGATTCACCCTGGGTGACTGTGGGGGGTGGGGGTGGGGTCAACTGAGCCCTGAGTCAGCAAATTCCAACTGGACCGCCACCGTGTTTCCGCGGACATAGTGCAAGGCACGCAGCTTGGCAGGCCATCTCCCGTGCCCCATGTGGCCGAGAAAGGTCTTTCTGAGCCTGGGATGGGCCAGGCCTCAGACACACATGCCAGAAGCAGGTGCTGGACATTGCACATGGTCAGGGGCTTGGAGGGCGCGCCCCCCCTCCCCCCAGGGCTCACCTTTGCAGGAAGGAGGAGACTTCGTGCAGCAGGAGGGGCGTGACCCTGTCCAAGTCCAGGGGCTGCTGGGTGACAGTGTGGTTCCTCATGAGGAAGCAATCCGCGTGCACGATCAGGTGGCCCGCGAAGCGCGCGGCCGCGAGCAGGACAGCAGCAGCCCCGGCGGCCCCGAGGGCGGGCAGCCAGGAGCTCGTGAGTCGGGTGAGGCGGCCCGCCGCCAGCGTGAGCGAGGCCACGGCCAGGACCTGGAACCAGAGGCCCAGGCTGCGCTCCAGGCCCGCGCGCTTCTCCGACAGCTCCCAGCGCGCGCAGTCGGCCATCATGGAGAAGGGCATCCCCAGGAAGCTGTCGAACCCGTGGGCCTGCGGGTGGTGGCAGTGATCGCGGGGAGACTCACAGTTCAGTCCCAGGTGCCATTTTCCTGGGGGTAGGAGAGGCCAACGGTAGGTATCACATATACCATGGCTTGGGTCTGCCCTGTCGCCCCAAATCCCCCTGCACTGCGGCCTCAGACCCCAAGGCAGCAATGGCACAGGTGAGGTTGAGCGACGGAGTGGGTCTGGGTCAGCTCTGGCCTCGTGGAAGGATTCATCCATTGAAAGATACAAGACAGTTACACAGGCCCCGGGAGGGGCTGTAGGAGACGGTGATGGGAGGAGGTTGGTTGAAGCACACACCATGTCCCTGGCCACTTTCTGTCTTTCCCTCGGCTCTCCATCTGCCATGCACTGAGCTGCTTTCCTAGACCATGCCCTTCCACCATGATGCTCTGCCTCACCCCAACCCAGAGCCACGGAGACGTGGGGCACAGTTGGAGGAAGTAGGACACTGGAGACACGCCCTGGGGACTCTATCTTGTCCTTGGCTCCTCTCTCTCTCTCCCTCTCTCTATGCTTCTCTGCTCCCTGGTGCCCTGTCCTGAGCTGCTCTCCTCCTCCAGGCCCTGCCGCCATCTTGTTCTGCTCCCCTTGGGCCACCAGGGACTGAACCTTGGAAAACATGAGCCTCAAATAAACCTCTCTTTCTTTAAATTGTTGTTTCCTGCATATTTTGCACGGAAAGGTGGCTACGACAGCATGCTCGCTCTACTCGAGCTCTCTCCCAGGGGCTGGGGGAGTGTAGGCTGTGACATCAATGACCACACCAGCTGACCTTATCCTTGTGGGAACGAGGGCCCCGAGAGGAAGCATTTCCCTGAGTATTAATTTCTCGTGAGCGGTGTGACAGATTGCCATAAATCTGCTTGCTTAAACCAACGGGGGGTGGTTCTCTGTCACATCTGGACAGTCCACTCAGGATCCTCCACAGGCTGGGTTTCCACACAAGGTCCCACAGGCAGTCTATTGGCATTCCTGCTGTCCATCAATCATGGATAGAAAATGTTAGGGGGGAAACTTGCATCTTCTCTGAGCACAGGCAAATTGTTTTCCTTGGTACTCAACAAACAATAGAGCGTAGCAACGAATCGGGCAGCACCGACATTGTTTTGGGTATTTTAAGTCCTATGAAGGTGATTTAAAGTCTACAAGGGTATGTGTCCACGTTCTATGCCAACACGGTACCATGTTATATAAAGGAGTGGAACCTCCAAACATTTGGGTATCTAGGGGTTGCTGTAGCATTTAGCTCCTGATATCCTTGGGAACCTTGTTCAGTAATTGCTGATAAAAAAAAATATTACTACAGAGTTGGACACCGTGGCGCATGCCTATAATCCCAGCAGCCTAGGAGGCTGAGGCAGGAGGATGGTGAGTTCAAAGCCAGCCTCAGCAAAAGTGAGGCCGTAAGCAACTGAGCGAGACCCTGTCTCTAAATAAAATACAAAATACAGCTGGGGATGAGGCTCCGTGGTTGAGTGCCCCTGGGTTCAATCCATGCTACCAAAAAAAAAAAAATGTTATCACTACAAGTGAGGATCATGGCCGTGTGGTCCCCTTTCCCTTCTCCCTGTCTGTTGTCTTGAAGTTTCACTTACTTACTTTTTGTTCAATATCTAATGTGGTTTCTTGGCTTATAGAAAAACACGTGTTTATTATGGAAGCACAGAGTGAGGTAAGGTATATGCAAACATTTGGTCAATGAGCATCTAGTTTATGTTGTTTTGATATTTATTTTTTTGTGTGTGTGTGATGGGGGTATCGGTATCAATATGTTCCCTAGGATGGCCTCCAACTTCTGGCCTCAAATGATCCTCCTGCCTCTGCCTCTGGAGTAGCTGGGACTACCACCATGCCTGGCCATATGAGTATTATTTTTGAATGTGTTGACTTTTAATTTTGTACCAGGGATGTAACCCAGGGGTTGCTCTATCACTGTGCACCCTCCCCCATCCCTTTATATATTATTTTTAAAAAATTTTTTGAGACAGGGTCTTGCTAAGTTGCTGAGGCCGGCCTCCAATATGCAATCCTCCTGCCTCAGCCTCCCAAGTTGCTGATTATAAGTGTGTGCCACCACACCTGACCCGTTGACATTTGTTGAATAACTTGTGGCCCCTGTGCATCCTGGGAGACCACATCATTTCTGTCATCTGGGAAATTACCTGGGACCCTCACTGGTGGCCTTTCCAAACATTTGGAGTTCAATAGACCCTTAAAAGAAAAGTAGTGAGCTCCAGAGTTGAAAGAAAGGTACCTACCTATTAGTCCAGTGGCGTAGCCTTGGTCTCTCAATATTTTTGCAAAAGTTATCTCATTGGTGGGCAGGCCCCCGGCTGCTGCTGTCCACTGGAGAACACGGAAAGCATTGCTGGAAACCATGCCTTCGACCAGCCAACAAAGAGAAATAAGTTACTATTATGTATTTGCTTTTAGTTGATGATGATAATGTTCACTCTTTTAAATTTAGAATATTCTGTAGAACTCTCCATTATTGAAAATCACATTGAAAAGTTCCTTCCTGCAAGGACCTGCCTCACAGAACAACGTATGTGGCAGGGAAGGTCATAATGAAATGTCAATGCTGGAGAGAAGGTGTTCGGTCTTGTGCCAGTTAGATCACTAAAGGGGAAAAAAAAAAGAATTTAATGGAAAAGGAATGAGAATTTAAAATGCACTTTGATTTCCCCAAATTCTTGCTATCACCAAAGAGTTTTCACAGTAATCTGTGAAATGATGTGCACAGCTTCTAGGTACGCTAATGGATGGTTATCACTCCAGAGAGTGCACAGGGAGTTGGCCTGGTGTGGATTTTGGAATGATTGAAAGATTCATTGCGTCAAGTATGGTAGTGCACACACGTAATCCCAGTGGCTTGGGAGGCTGAGGCAGGAGGATAGCAAGTTGGAGGCCAGCCTCAGCCACTTAGCGAGGAACTAAGCAACTTAGCAAGACCGTGTCTCAAAATAAAAAATAGAAAGGGCTGGGAGTGCGGCTCAGTGGTTAAATGCCCCTGGGTTCAATCCCTGGTATCAAAAATAAGTAAGTAAACAAAAGAAGATTTCCTGGAGAGTTCTAAAATACAGGCAAACCATTGAGCTCTGGACTTCCACACAGGTGTGTATGTGTGGGGAGGTGCTGGGTATT